TTCAAATTTCATTTGACGTCTCTTTCTCTTGCTAAATCTCATAATTTATTGATGAAGCTTCAAGTTTACAAGAGAGTAAAGATGTAGACAAAACTGAAGGCAGCAATCAGCTGGAAATCTTGTTAAAGTGAAGCAGCTAATTCCATGGACTTGGGGTGGGGAAGGGGGCTGAAGAGTCTGCGTTCCTAACAGGTGTCCGAGTGGCGCCCTGCTACTGGATGTAGAGGTCATACTTTTGAGTAGAAACGTCTTAGAGTTTAGTAAAGAGTTAGGACTGTAATATAGAAAAGGAGAAGCTGTTGAAAATGTATGATCGGTGCCATGATGTGATTAGAAATATGTTCAGCAAAATGAATCTGACAGCTTCATGTGAATCAGATGTGAGAGTTCCTTAAAGAATTCCAATGCATATTCAGATGCAAGACACTATTATTAAGTGATTTACTGAGTGTTCATTTGGAGAGAGATCGGGAAGAGGAAGCATGCTGACACATGCAGGAAAATGCAGGTATCCTGTTGAAGATAAATCTCGTGGAGAAAACAAAAAAGAATAAACCACACACCATTTGGCCAGGGATCTCATTGAGTATAAATCAGTAACATTTTTATTCTTTTACTGTTTATAAGTCTTGGCTTCTCAGTACTACTGTAGCCATTTTGTGGAAGAATAAACTGAGGCCACATGATTTTTCTAATGTAGCATAGCTTCTACATGACTGAGCTAGGACTGGAATCTAGGCCTCTCTTATGGCTTTGTTGTTTTGTTTTTGTATTTCTCATTGCACAATTTTTCTCTCTCGATAAAATCTAGGGACTCTCCACTAAATACATCTGAATGAAGGTGATATCTCTGGCAGCCCATCAACTTAGTTCATATTACCTGATGTGTCTACTTCGGGTTTTAGATTCCCCCCCATTACTTTCTTGCTCTGAAACATGTAATGTCTCTCAGTTTAGTATGGTTTATGAGTAATTGCATTTCTAAATCAAGTTGTGGCTTAAACTATTGGTTACTTGTAGTTGAGTGTGTCCTACTTGTAGCTCAGTTCCTTCACTCGTTATGAGGAGGAATACACAAATGATATCCCAGGAAAAGCCTGACAAGCATCATTCTAGAGCTTCCAAGAGTTTATGGAGAAGTTTCTTTTTCTCTCTCCTGAATACCTGGCCTTCCCATTTTGTCACCATCAAAGCCACCTCTGACACTGCTCAAATCATGTGCCTCACTGAAACACATCAACCTACTTATGCATGATACTTTCCCATAGCTCTGTTGAAACTTTTTTTTTAGAATGTTCTTTTCTACCTATTCTTTAAAATTCTATTCAGTTATATCTTTTCTTTGAAATCTTCATTGAATTCTCTAGAGCTAGTAAGTTTTCTAGATCCCCACAGAAACTTTTCCATTGACTTTTACTATGTAATCCAATGATGAGGCATACAGATTATGTAATTATTAAGTGCTAGGTTCTGATCTCTGTTGAGCTGTAATTAACCTCAGGCAACTTATTCTGGAAGCTTCTGTTTCTTCCTCTATACCTTGTGGATAATAATGATTCTTTTCTCCCAGGAATGTTGTGAGGATTTAATGAGATCATTCAGGCCGGAGTGCTTAGCACCCAGCACAGGCATTAGTAAAGAGCTCAACAAATGTTAGCTATTATCAACCTATTATAATAACAATCTGTTCTTTGAGGAGATAGCCTTTGTCTTAATTAGCTGTCTGGCATAGTGTCTGACATATAAATGCTTAAAATTTTTTTTATTGTTATGCACACTGATTGATTCATCATTTCACATACCTAACTGGTAAGTGAAAAATTGGGCTAGCAGTCCAGTCAGAGATTGCCCTAAAATGTAGCTTGGGAACTCCAGAATAGAAGAGCAAAGAATTTTTTCAGAAATGCAAAAAGCATACATATACTTTTTACTCTTTACAATTTCATATTCAGCCACTACTTATATATCTCTCAATTGAGTTTTTACTCTTCAATTCCTTTGTCAATTCAAGCCATCAGCATCTTCATATAATGTCTCCCAAAAGTACAAGAGCTCAGAGTGATCCTTTAGCATGAGGCAAGGAAATATCAACCTTTATATTTATTTCAATCTACTTATTTGAGTAATTGGTGCACAATATATCAGGTGTACAAGAAAAAGCATAGTTTACCCCTTGCAAATCTTATTCTCTTTCCTTCCTATCGCTAGTAGATACTAACCTGAATCTGTTTCCATTCACATGCAGCTGGTTCTTTTTTTTTTTTTTGGTACAGGGAAATGAACTCGGGACCTTTTCCTTGCAAGGCAGGTTGGTGGCACCACTGAGCTAAATCCCTGGCCTTGATTCTATTTTTTATATGGAAACATTCCTTTGTTCTCTTTATATTCATCTCTTATGGTTTAGATTTAAAATGTCCCCCAAATTCTCATGTTTGTACGTGATTGGGTGAGTTCAGCAGCTAAGTGAGCTACTAACAGATAGGGTCCGGTTGGAGGTGGGTCACCTGGGGTGTAACTCAGAAGGGGATTTCTGTCCCTAGCTCCTCCCTTCTTTCTTTTCCTGGATGCCACAGGTTGAGCACCTCTTTCCTAGCCATACCTCTCTGCCATCCTGTTTCTGCCTTGGGGCCAGCTAACAATAGACTAAAACTATGAGCCAGAATAATCTCCTCCTTTAAATTATGGGTGTCAGGTATTTTGTCCCAGAGACAAGAAAAAATTACTAAGATAGCGTCTAATGTGGTATTTAATGTAAAATGCTTTTATAAAATGAATTATTATAGTTGTTTTTATATAGCTGTATAAACAACATGGATGGAGAACATTAGACAAATTGTTAGCAAAAACAAAACAAAAAACCTAACCAACCATCCAAACAAACGAGAAACAATTTTTCTCTGTGACGATATATATAATTGTGGGGATGAATGAAAAGTCATCAGACTCTTGACTTGGAAAGCTGAAGCACATATTGCACAGCTTTGCTGGTAGTGAAAAGTTAGATTCAGTATCTTAATTTGTTTCACCTGTAATATCTGATAGTACTGTTAACTCTTATTTGGACTCAGGGAAGAATCACAGTGTAGCAGAAAAATGACATTGTTATTTGTCTTTTTCCAAGCCATACCAATGTCCAATAAAACTGTATTTCTCTAGCTGAGGTTCAGTCCAAGGAGCTGCAGTAGTATCTACTCACACTCATTCCTTTCTCCTGGTTCTTTGGTGATGCCAAAGAGATGCTCACACTACCACCCTCTTTGACACTGACTTTCATCTTCTGTGCAGATCCCTATTACCTCAGATGTTTCCCAGTGTTGTTCCAAGGCCTTTACTCATACTCTCCTCCGCTCAGGTAGGGCTCCATGCTCATATCCTGTTTCCTAAGGTTTTATTTTGTGGATTTCTTCTGATGGATAGAGGAGTAGCAGATGGTCTACGTGCATTGACCAGATACTTTTTCTGTTCTTTCTACTCTGTCTTGCTGTACCTGCGATCATGTTTGGACAACTGCTTTTGCTACTGGGGCTGCTTTGCAGGCAGGCAGAGCTGGGAGTCTGGCTCCTCTGAGGCAGCTCTTAACCAAAAAATGTCAGTGTGGAAATTTTTTTTTTTTTTGAAAAAGCAGTTCTCTCACCTCAGGATAGCGCAGCTCTGAGGTACAACTCACACTGCAGATTTCCTCTTAGAGAGAAAACCAATCTCAACCTTGTTTGTCTTTCCTCCTAATCTTGGGGGACACAGATATTATAAAAAGTTATTAGATTAAGAGCATGGGAACAGCAATAAGGTGCTGGGCAGATTATTCTGAAGCTCCAGATTGGGAGTGGGAGACCAGTTACCAAACTTGATGAGAACATCTCATCAACATTGCTCTGGCTTTAAGGATGAGCCCTAAATGCTGATTTTTGAAGGACTTTAATTTACTTATGCCTCACATTATCTCTGGCAATAGAGTAGTGCTAATTCTGCAGGTAACTTTAAATGGAGAAAAGAATAGAATGAACGGAGTCAGGCTTCCCATTGCAAAGAAACATCGAGGAAGGAGAACTGTAAACTATAGGACAGGATCTGTGTCCTAAAGTAAATTACATTCTGGGTGTGAGATTCAATATCTAAAAAGATTACCCTATAAAGCAATGTATAGTAAGTGTTAAATAAATGGCACAAATAAGAAATGTTTTCGTTACATGAAATTAGATGTGAAACATTGAAATAATAAATGAAAGGAAGAAATAAAATTTTTAAAGTATACTTGTCTGAATGCATTAATGTGTTGCACGGTCATTGCTAAAGTATGGATTTAAGGTAGATTATAGTGTTGAAATATTAATATTTATTTTGAATTAATTCTTTTTTTTACCCCCAGTACCAGAGATTGAACTCAGGACCTTGTGCTTGCGAGGCAGGCACGGAGCCACTGAGCTATATTCCTGGCTTGATCTAATTCTTAATAGTAGGACAGCTAGTATACTGCCAGAGAAAATCTAAATTCTAAAGATAAATATGCATGTTAGTTTCTAAGAGTTTATATGCCAATCACTTAGGTGAGTTGGCTTATTTTAGGAAACAGTTTCTTGATTTCACTGCATTTAACATAGAAAGACAAAAATAAGAGATTAATGTGTAGCATTACATATTTGATAAATTAATTTGCAGGAAAATGGATGAATCTTGATATCATAATATTAAGTGAAATAAATCAGACACAAATTTAAATATTGTGTGGTTTCTCTTTTAGGAGAAACTCAAAGTATAAATAAACAGCAAAATAAAAGATAGATAATAGGAAACAGGAAGCTAGGTTTTCTGCAAAAGGGAAGGGGACTAAGAGGTGGAGTGGAGGGAAGGGGATGAAAAAAGAATTAAGATGTGTTATATACATGTACCAACTACCTACAATAAATGTAATCGTTATGCACTACGCATATGTACTAATAAAAAAAGTATACACTGTATTGTAGCCAACGTGACCTCTCTATTGGGCAGACTCCTTTTATTGCCTGTGGATTCCTCAGCAGACATTCCATGTTCCTGGTATCTCCAACTTTCTGGTGCAGTTTCCACTGCACCTTTGACTTTACTCTCACAATTTCTAATACTGCCCTTTTGAGGTCAAACTCACCTCCCAACCCTTCTTCTGAAATCTGGGTAGAAGCCTCCATGATGCCATAACTCTTGCATTTTGCATGTTTGAAAACACAGCACCACATGGAGGTTGGAGATGCCAGGAATGTTGGCTACAAAAAACAAGGCCAATAGGGTTGGCCTGCCAAAGTTCTTTGGAGCTCACTGTGGCCACGACCTGCTCTAGGTGCAGGAGCTACAGGGCTTCATGTTTTCCCTGATATTTTAGTCTTACTTTGATCGGATTCCTTTATTCTGAAATGGGAATATTTACTTTGTGCCACTGTACATGGTGTGATAAAAAAATACAGTGTGTGTTTCAATTTTTAAAAATGTTATTACTGTACAAAACACATTACAGCAAAAAGTTCTACCTCAAAATACTCTCCCTTGTTTTGAACACACTTATCTCATCGTTATTGCCATTTTCTGAGCAGTTCTCAACGTCATCTTTTGTATTTTTAGTTGTTGCTACCTTGTTTCCCTAAATTGATTCAAAATATTTACCTTTCATGGTACATTTTGGGGAAGAGACAGACATCTCATGGTGTCAGATCCGGTGGCTAAGGTGGACACACTGTAATGTTTTTGTGAGCCTGTCATGTTTGAGGGCACTCAGCAGTAATATTCATCAATTTTCTTTATCATACTTCAGAAAGATGTTTATGAAAGAACACTTTCACCACTCTTTCTGAATATGGAAAGAATGATAGGGTAAGTGTTTGAAGATGGGGGGATATTCTGAGGGGAACAAATGGCAATGCATCTTTTACTATAATAATTTTTTTAAAAATTTAAGCATCCACTTTCTATTTTGATCACATCTTGTATATTGGAAGTATTGAACCGTCTTAAATTTTTATAGGAACTCACAGCTAAGAATTTACCTTGAGTCTCAGAGGATACTTTGGACTTGGACTTTTCAGCAATGCTGTAACTGTTAAGAATTTGGTGACTCTTACAGATGGACTAAATACATAATGAGATGGGCATAAGCCTTTGGGAGGCCAAGAGTGAAATGTTATGGTGCAGATATAAAATATCCCTTCAAATTTCCCCCCTCATATGTTTGCAGGTGAGGCCTGGTTGGAAGAGGTGGGTCATTGATGTGTGACCTGGAAGGGTGTCTCCAGCTCCTCCCTTCTCTGTTTCCTGACTGCACTGAGGTGAACAGCTCTCCTCTGACACGCCCTTCCACCATGCCATTTCTGCCTTGGTGCTAGCCAGCTATGGACTGAAACCCCAAAACCATGAGTCAAATTAGACTTTTTCTCCTTTAAGGTGTGAGTGTCAGATAAATTTTTCCAGTGATGGGAAAGCTAATATACATGATAAAACAGACTGTATTTTTTTTATATAATAGAGCTGGACTTGTGCTGTCTCATTAATTCAAATTCATTAAGCCATGAATGGACTAATCTATTTGTGGGGATAGAGCCCTCATGACTTAATCACCTCTTAAAGGCCTTACAACACTGCTACATGACAAATTTCAACCTGAGTTTTGAAGAAGTAGATCATATTCAAACCATAGCACTTGTCTTCTAAACATCAGTGACATGAGCTTTGTGTCCTACAGACATTTAGAATGTTAAGTGATCATATTCTAACAAGAAAAACTCATAAAAAGACTTTGCAGGTAACTATACCCTAATGAGAAAGAGGGTACTATGGCACCAGTGGTTAGAATAGAAAGTAGGCTTCCTTAGTTTCTGTTTGTATATTACCTAAGACAGATCATCATTCTTTAAATAAGTAAACATTAAAAATTAGGAGGAACAATAAAAGGATTTGGGGTTATTTTCCTGTTTGATAAATAGTCACCATAAGAAAAACTGAATTTAATTTATGTGCTAGAGTTAACTTTTAGTTATGAAGAATAGAGACAAAGTTGAATTACAGTTCTTTGTTTCTGAAATAGTTATTTCATAGAAACTGGGAATTTAAGGATTACAGGGCTCTTGGGTCATGAAGTATCAATAACAGGCACTGTTCAGGTTCCAGTAGAAGAATAGGAACCTGAGTGAGTGTATCTGAGTTTCCTGGAGACAAGACTGCCTTCAGGACTCACTAGACCATTCCAGACAAGTACAAGGAAGCTCTTGGTTCTAGGATATCTGTTCACCTCATCATCAAGGAAAAATCCTTGAGTAACCAGAACCCTTTTATAGAATTAATAAGAGGAGGCCAGTTGAGTCACTTAGTTGCTTCCAACCACATCTTATCTTTATCCTTTTTATTATTTTTTTACCGATTTTTGCTTTGTCAGACAACTGAAAAAGAAAAAATAGGATCAATTTAATTGGCTTATAATGTTAGAAGTGGTAATAGAAAAGGCAGGAAGAGGAAGAAGATGAACTGCAGTACAGAGTAGAGATTGATGAGTATTGTAAGTCCCTGCACAAATGAAAAGAGTTAAACACTTCCAACATTCAATAGCACAAGACAGACATTTTCATTCCAAAAGTTATGAACAGGGATGGGACCAAGGCAAATCCAAAATCCAGCAGGGCAAACATTAAATCCCACAGTCCCACTTCCAGCATACCCAGCAATCTGTGGCAAGTTGTGAATTCCTAAGGTCTTGAGTAGCTTTACCCCTATGGCACTGCAGATGGTTGAGGCTGCAAAGGATGGAGCCCTGTCTGCTTCTCGTGATGCCTTCAGGCCATCTGTTCTCCCATCCCTTATGAGAAATCAAGATATCCTCTGCTCTTTATTTGCAGTCTACAGCTTTACTGGAGCTTACCTTGTGGCCGAACTCAACACATTTTTAAATCATTCCTTTTTTGGGTGGGTAGTAGAGATAGAACTTAGGACCTTGTCTTATGAGGCAGGTGGCAGCATCACTGAGCTAAATCCCCTGCCCTTTAAATCATTCTGTTGGGCTTTTTCTTTTGATTTCCAACATAGATCTGGCTAAAAGCCCCCAACAGCAGCCATGCCATGACCTCAACACTAGCCTGCCTTGAAATTTCTTCTGTGAGATTAATTGATCCACATCCCTTAATCTCAGTCTCAGGCAAAGCCACTGGATGAGCTTCATACACTGCTCACAATGAAGACAAACTTTCTGTCGAGCCATAGCACACATTGACTGGAGTCCAGCAGCCAATGCAGTCCTTCCTCCCAGCACAAACCTCCCAAGCCTTGTCTTTACCAGCTTTCTGGTCTTTTGAGCTCTGACCAGAACTTTGAATGCAGAATAGTCTAAGATGTTCCAGATCTACTTCTTCAGCCAAAATCTCTGAACCTTTCTTAACTAGTTACTTCCCCTTCTGCCACGACCACTCCAGTGGAGTCTGCGTGACAATGCCGGTCACCTGGCAGAAACCAGACCCGAGGTATCGTCCCCACGGGGTTAAGCCTCCTGGAAGTCCTTGGCACACACCGCATGCGAAGTCAGCCGTGAAGAGAATAGCTGGCCTCTCTGCCTGCAGTCTGGGGACATTGGGTTCATTTATAATTCTGTTCTATTTTGTCTTTATTACTATTTGTTCATTATCTGTAGAACTGTATTCTGGGCCCAGGAAAGATTAGGAACAATTAGATGTTCCTAGAGATGGGGAGGTATTGAGGCACAAGAGGACGGGCGGCCAAAATGCTGACCCTGAGTCCCGGACTGTGAAGTCCTGAAGGTGATCCTGAAGGTGACATGCTGAAGCCAGTCCTTTGTTTTACAAACTTCCCCTTCTGACTGCGTATAGGTGTGGTCTTACCTTGACTTAGTGGTTTTAGCTTTTGTGATTGTATATAGGTGTGGTCTTACCTTGACCTTGTGGTCTTAGCTTTTATAGTACTATTGTCTATCTTTCTCATGCCTGCCTGTGACTGGAATCACTCTTGAAGTGTGCCCTTGAAACTAGTATATATACACCTAGAGTTAGAAATAAAATTGCAGCAGCTACTACCTTCACTACTCAGTGCTGTGTGGTTTCTGACTGTCACCGCCGAACCTGCTCCCACCTTTCTGAAGATCCCTGTTCTCCTCGTGAAATCCAGTCTTTGCTCCCCTACGGTCGGCAGCACCCTTCCAACAAGCCAGTTCCAAAGGCTTTTGAGCCACGTGGAGTGGTGATGTCACAACAAAGACCCACTTCTCTGATATCAAATTTCTGACTTAGTTACTTTTCTCTTGTTGCTGAGACAAAATACCCAACCCCCAAAGTTAAAGGGGAACGGGTTTATTTGGCTTATAGTTTATATAGTTTCCAGTCCATACTTGGTTGGCTCCAAGATAGGGTGGCAGAAGGGCAACAGTTTACAGCAGTAGAAGACAGCAAAAACAACAAGAGACCTTAACAGCATCCTCCTGCCTCTTTTATCTTTTTCAGACCACTTAGGGTGGGTGGCACTCGTGCCCTTAATCTTAGTGCCTTGAGGCCTAGCCCCACCACGACTCAATCACACACTCTAGATTCAGCCACCTTTGAGAAAGCATGAGGCTTTGGGTTGGGGGCATTCAAATACAAGCCACAACACACAATATCAAGACAGAAATGCCAAGCCTTTTATCCCATTTTAGTCATTTATCAGATCTCTGGAGGCCCAAGTGAAGAGTTGGTCTTCTCAGCAAAAGCAGCCTTCATGTAACCTAGACGACTGCTGTCATAACCCACATGTTAGAGGTACTATCCATAGCAAAGGTAGTAGGAAATTAATAATGTATTGTCTAGCCATGTGACCTCCAAAATTAGTGATTTTAAATTGACAAAGAGAAGCAGGTTAGAGGGCTTATTTAGGTTTTTTCTTGGTAACAATTTCTCGCTTTATGCAAACATTTTGTTTTTCTCTGTGTATTTTTTAAAATGAGGGTCTCATAACAAGATTTTGTATCATGTCATGCCCCAGGGTTTAAACATTTACTGCACCCAGGAGTTTATTTGTCATCTCATCCTTCTGTCTCACCACTATCCCACCATGGCAATCCCTGTTTTGGACTCACTCCATGCACAGTGAAAACCAGGATTCTGTGTGTCCTCTTTTCTCCTGACTATTGCACAAATTAGTAGGAAGATTCCAGGGCATTCCCTTGGCC